CACACACACACACACACACACACACACACACACACACACACAGCTTCCCTCTCCAGCCTCTGTCGCTGGTAGGCTAATCTGCTCTCACTGAGTGACAAGTCTCAAAGCTCATTTTAGAAATACTTTATTTACATTTTCTCTTAGAAAAAAAAAATATAGATCTGGTGCCCTGTTCATTCCTTGGGTTCTGGGTCTGGTGGGGAGAGTGAAGTGTGCAGGGCGACTCCCTCCAAGCCACCCTTTGTCCATCAAGGACTTTTGTTTATCTGGCCCCAGAGCTGGGCTTCCCTGAGATCAGCCCCAGAGCCCTGGGCTACAAAAATGCTTTGCTGGGCCTGGGGTAGGTTTGTCATGAGGGGCAAGGGCTGGGAGGTGCCTGGGTAGCCTGGCCATTTGAAACTAGACTGGCACCGTAGGTCAGATACTATCCTTGAGGATAGGATGCTGGTGTCTGAGGTTCTGAAGATGGAGGCCCTGCACAGGCTGCTGAAATACATAGTCGTGGGTGTGACATAGGGCCAGGTTACTTGCAGGACCAGGGACTACTGGCTGTTTTGTTCGAACCACCGGAGCACCTCCTCCTTGTTCTCCTTCACCCACTTGATGTTGGCTTTCGTCTTCTCCAGGGCCTGCTCCAGAGCCCGGGTGCCAGAGCCAAAGCCTATCTCCATGTTGTCCGCCTTGAACTGCTCCAGCTGCCAGGAAAACAAAATCTCAGGTCTGGGTTGGATCTTAAACTCAGCCCTGAGGAGAAGAGGAGGCCTCCCAATGCTTTGACTCTCACCCACTCACAGATCCCTAGGCATGGGGACCATATCTCGCTCCCCTAGATGGAGGGTTCAATCCTTCACTTTGCTCTGGAATCAGTTCTCATTTACCCAGAGGTTGAAAAACCATAACCCTAGGCAGAGTCTGTTCAGGAGGGTATCTGACTTTATTGCACAATATTTCATATTGTTATCCCTGAGTGTTCAATTGAAGTATATAATCTCAACCCAGTGAAGAGTAGCAAATTAAACATATGTCACATGCAAACAACCAACCCTAAAATGCAGGAAATGTCCAAACTCAAATGATCCAGTCGCTTTACTACAAAAGTGACTTTTTAAAAGGGGTAAGTGGGGGTATAACTCAAGGGTAGAGCCCTTGCCAAGCATGTGCAAGGCCGTGATCCCTAGCCTCAGCACTGAAATAAAGTGGAGTAAAGTATGCACAGAAAGAAGCCTGATTGTCCTGATTCACAGATAACATGATTTTGTGCACATAAAATCTTAAGGAATCTGTGAACGCACTATTAGTACTAGGACGAGCTATAGCTCAGTGGGGTGAGTTTGCCTAGCATGTACAAAGCAGTGGCTTCTACTCCCAGCACACACACACACGCACACACACACACACACACACACACATACACACACACACTAGAACTAATGAGTTCAACAAGGTTGCATAATATAGGACCAATATATAAAGCTCAACTGCATTCCTACACAACAGCAATGAAAAACCCCCCAAATAAGAAAAAATTTTCACTTAAAATAGCATCAAAAATTAAGTACTTATTTACTGTTAAGGTTGCTGTTAAGTTGGCAATGGTCCCTAAACTGATCTGATGATTCAATGATGCAATTGCAATTAAATTTCAACTGCTCTTTTGCAGAAATTGACAAGTTGACCCTAAAATCATAAAGTAATACATAAGAGGCCAAGATTGGAATAATCAATCTTTCTTTTTTTTTCTTTTTTTTTTCTCCTTCTTTTTTTAAAGGCATGTGCCATCACACCCAACTAGAATAACCAATCTTGAAAAAGAACACATAGTTCCTGAGTTCAAAAATTCTCGACAAAGCTACAGCAAAGCAAGAGAGTATAGCTGTGTATGGTGACAAATGCTTATCCTACTCCTAGTTCCCAGGAGGCAGAGGCATTCTATCTCTATGAGACTGAGACTAGCCTGGTCTACATAGTGAGTTCCAGGCCAACTGGGGCTACAGGGAGGCCTCGTCTCAAATTTTTAAAAAAGAGAGTATAGTGCTGGTATAAGGACAGAAATGTGTCTCAATGACATAGTCGAGTGTCCATAAATAAATCCTTGCATGTATAGCTAGTATGTTCTCCCTTCCTTCCTCCTCCCTAACTCCCTTTCTCCCCCCACCCTCCCTCCCTTTCTTACAGGGACTCATATAGTCTAGGCTGGCCTCAAACTCACTAGGTAGCCAAGGTGACTCCCGATTCTCCTTCCTCTACCTCCTGAACACTAGGATCACAGGTATGTACCATGGTTCTGGCTTTGTGCAGTGCTGGGTATCAAACTTGAGGCTTCCTGCATGCTAAGCAAGTGTTCTACCAACTGAGCTATATCCCAAGGCTGGTCAACTAATTTTCAAAAAGGATGCCAAGACCATCCCTTGGGGGGAAAATAGTAATTTCAAGAAACAGCATTGGGACAACTGGTTAGTTACATGCAAAAGAATGAAGCTGGACCCCTCATCAAGCATGGTGGCACATCCCTGCAATCCCAGCACTTGGGAGGCAGAGGCAGGAAGATCAAGACTTCAAGGCCAGCCTGGGCTACATGGTTCAAAAAACCAAATATCAGGAAGGTGAAAAGACAACTCACAGAATGAGAGACAACATTTGCAAATCATGTATCTGATGAGTCCAGTTTTCAAAATACATAAAGACCTCTTATAGCACAATAAAAAAAAATCAACAACCCGATTTAAAAATGGGCAAGGGATTTGAATAGACATTATTCCAAAGATACACAGATGGCCATTAAACTCCCATCATTAATCATTAAGGAAAAGCCATAGCAATGCCCAGGAACACAGAGAAATTGAAAATGTCATACATTGATGGTGGGAATATTGCAAATTTTCTCTGCAAAACATTTTGGCAGTTTTTAAAAATTTAAACATGGATTAGACAAATGACCTAGCCATTCCACTTCTACCTTTTTACCCGGGAGAAATAAAACAAACATTTGCACAAAAATTTGCACATAAATGCTGACAGCAGCACTATTCATAATAACCCGCCAAATGGGAACAACTGAAATGTTCATCATCTGATGAATGGAAATATGGTATGTCTATGCAATGGAATATTACTTAATTATACAAAGGAACCATTCATGATGTCACAGGCACAAATCTTTGAAACCTTATGCTGAGTGAAAGAAGCCAGACACACAAAAAAAGTCACATAGGACATGATTCCATTTCAAGGTCACATATTTTTATGATTCTATTTTATGAAATGCTCAGAACAGATAAATTCAAAGATAGAAAGTAGATTAGTATTATCAGGGGCTTGAGAGGTTCAGCAGAAATGTAGAGTGACTGTTAGTGGTTTCAGGGTTTCTTTTAGGAATAAAAATGTTCTGGAGTTAGTGGCAACAGTTGTATAATCTTTCAAATATACTAAAAATCACTTAAAGGCGTGCACGACCACGCATGGCTAAAATGCTAAGTTTTATGGTACATGAATTATAACTCAACTTTTAGGTAAAGGAATCTAGGTGCACAATGCTAGTTATTCAGGAAACTAAGTCAGGCAGGAGGATTGCTGAAGTTCAGGGCCAGCCTAGGTGATACAGAGAGGCCCTGACTTGATCAATCAATTAATGAATAAATATAGTTTTTAAATTCCGAGGTTTTCTTTTTTTTGTCGTTGCTGTTTGTTTTTTGAGACAGTGTCTCAGTATACAGCACTGGTTGGCCTATGTATATCAGGCTGGCCCTTGAACTCACAGAGATCCACCTACTTCTGCCTCCTGAGTGCTGGGATTAAAGGTATGTACCACCATGCCAGCAAGACTCATATTTTTTATGAAGTCGCCAACATTTACAAAGTCTCTCTACTCAACCCGTGCTCTCCGGGTGGGAAGAGTGGACAGAGTCCAGGGCTAGGAGAGTCTGGCTTCTTACCTGTTGCAGCTCAAACTCTGTGGAGAAGCGCCGGGTCACTCCCTGAATGAGGTTGGAGAAGGAGAAGGAGCCTCCACCGAAACTGCGAGGTAGAGAGAGATGGGTAGAGCAGTGGGGAGAGGGGCAGGGAGTTAAGAGCCACTTCCTACAGTTGACAGGGATCCTATAACTGCTCTGTGAAGACGGGATGAGAAGCCTAGACAATGACACACCAAGGAGACCCCTCCAGGACATGTGAGAGACGAGACTTGAACACAGGTCTGGCTGCAGGTCCCTGACATCCTGTCCTTGTAGAAGATTTTCCCACTGGTTGCATTTTTCTCTCCAAGTGAGAAAGTGGGGGGCTACAACTCTGCTTTGTTTTTCACGTTTTCCCATTCCCTTGACTCCAAACTCACTGTCTGGCCACTTCTATGTAGGGTCCCCAAACCCTGTGAGGTCCCATGCACACACCTTGGCACCCCCAGCCTCGACTCTCGATACCCCAACACCTCCTCCACAGACTCACTCCTCAAAGAGCCTCTTCCAGTTGCTCCGGACAAAGTCCCAGACCAGAGATTGTCCCACCACATTGCTGGCAATGCTGACAATGGTGGAGGTGGCGTCCTGCCTCCGGATGTACTCAGAGTTCAGGGTGTAACTCAGGTACCTGTGGGCAGGAGGCAGGGTTAGGGACCACTTGAGGACCACAGTCCCATGATGCAGGCATGGGACCCCAAGGTCTCACACACATCATGGTCTCTTGCATCGCTCAACATCCCTTTTGTATGTGAACAGCTGAGGAACCCCTTAGTCCTACCTTCTTCTGCAGGTGGGAAACTGAGTCACCTACACAGGGTGACAGTGTCAGTGCCCATGCAAGTGTGTGCTGGCATGGAACTGTCTGATAATGGATATAAGAAGGAACACCAGCCTCCTAAGCCTTGGCACCAGGTAACGTGGCTGCTCTTGACTTTGATGTTGAAGGAGGCTTAACTGCATTGCTCATTCACTAACACTGATGGAGCAGGGAGTATGACCCTTATGGGTTTGTCCCGGGGAGTCAGGAGCAATCCCTGGCAGTGTTCTCTAGAAATCTCCATGTCTGGCCCATGGCAGGGCCACCAAGGAAGGAGAGACCCCACCCAGGAACAGGAATCCTGAGATGCTGCCTGTGGGTCATCAAAGAACTCTGAGTTCAAGTCTTGGTTCAACCACTTCCTAAGCCTGTGGCCGGCCTTTGGGTAAGTTGCTTTGCCTCTGAGTCTCTATGTCCTCACCAGCACAGGGCTGTGAGGCTGACATGAAGGGGAGTATGAAGGCTTGGCTGAGTGTATGGGTGGGGCCCCAGTCCTCACCTGTTCAAAATCCACACTTGGTTGCTGCAGGCCAGGGCTGACAGAAGTTTATCTGCCTCATTCACCAGAGTGGCATTCCGGAACTGTTCCCAGGCAAATTCCCACTCATCTTCGCCACCCTGGGCGATGGCATTGCAGTAGACAGTGGACCGCAGGTTAGGGTGGATCCTGGAGTGGGTTAGGGATATCAGCAGCAGAGCGGGGGTGGGGGTGGGGTGGCCCGCACACAACAAGGAGTAACCAAGGACAGAACTGGGGGATTCTATGTAGCCTGAGGGGCAGATGAGAACAGGTAGGGCAGGTGCAGGGGGACACTCACGGGTTAGTACTGGGGTTAGCCATCCACTCTCTAAAGAGCCTAGATGCCAGGTCTTTACATTCTTGGATGCCACTGGAACAGGCGGTGCTGATGGCGTTAACTTCATTGTACCTGCCCCCAGGGGTCACATATGGTTAGTGCACCTCACCTGGACTCCCACCAAGACTCACCTCCAGACATAGCCAGGGGCCTGTCCAGGGCTCTGTGGCCCAACCAACTCTCTGAATCTTTTCCTGTTTGCTTCCTGCCTTGGGCCTGATTTCTTAGCTCCCAAAGCAACCCCAGAGTTTCAACTTGAATCTTTTTATAACAAAGTCAGGGTTGGGGATGCAGCTCATTGTAGAATGTTTGCCTAACATTCAGGAAGCCCTGGCTTTGATTCCTAGTACCACATTAGGCTGAGTTTGGTAGTATTCATCTGTAATCCCACCACTTGGAAATTGGAAGGCTGAGGCAGGAGGATCAAAAGTTCTAGGCCAGCCTGGGCTACATACTGAGACCCTGTGACAAAAAAATCCACGAAACTCCCAAGAAGCCAGATGGGCCCACATGACAGGTGGATCCTCAAGGCAGGAACCCTGCTCCTAGGTGGGGGTCTCTCCCTGTCTGGTAACTTTACCCTGGACCAGTCATGGGGAGTTTCAGAGAAGAACGTTACCAGGTGTTGTTGTCAGCTCCCAGCTCACCCAGAACCTTCAAACCCTCAAAAGTCACACTTACTGTTCGGTCAGTGTTTCTGGGCGGTTAGTCCAATTGCCCGTGAGGCTTTGGAAGTGAGAGAAGAGAGGTATGACTTGCTTCCTCAGGTATTTCTGGGGAAGGAACATAGAGGTAGCTTCAAGAACCCAGGTTGACCTGTCTGGGCCAGCAGAGCTCTGTAGGCCTAGATGGAGAGGTCAAGGTCTGCCTAATGATCAGTGCCACGTCTAGATTTGAGATGACAGATCTGGTGTTCTTTGTCCTCATCCACATCCTCAACTCTGCCAGCTCTTAATCTTTTGAAGGTCCTGATGAATTATCTGGCTACTAGGTCACCCCATAGTGAGATTCCCCAGATGATAATCTCTACCTCCCCATGGAGCTTCCAACTCCTTTTCATTGTTTAAATGTGGAGTGCTTCACCGTTCCTTGTGTTACCCTGCATGGCTGTGCTAATCTGTTTTGTTCCAGTTCAAGTATGGCTTCCGGTCACTGTTTATTGAATTCTCAAATCCAAAGAGGCCATTCAGCCTCAAACTTGACAGAAAACCAAAACAAACAGAAATCTTAGAGGAAACAAGTCAACAGAAGAAAAAGGAAACTTCAAAAGCCTTGTAATAACTACCCTCCAAGAGAGAAGAGAAGATAGCACACAGGATTCTGGGACCAGAAACAGAGGGAAGAACAGAAAGAATCTGGAGAAGAGGGGGCTAATGCTGAGGAACCCCTCCTGGGAGGGAGCCAGAGTCGCCACGCTGGAAATCAGGAGGGAAATGAAGGCCAGGCCAAAGAAAGAGAAAGAATTGGTTGCTCAGGCTTCCAGAAAGACCTGACTGGACAACACACTGAGACATATCAATGTCCAAACTGAAAAAGATGGAAGGGAGAGAAAAGATCCAAACCAGCCCCACAGGATTGCTACAAGGGCCCAGAAAGGAGGGAAAACTGGTCACATACCAAGAACCAGAAATGAGAAAAGCTCTGGGCTTTTCAATAGTAACATGAGAAGCCTGATGTCAACAGATCAAGACCTTAGACATTCTGAGGAATAATTTCCGATCTAGAAACTTCCCAACCCAGCTGAACTCACAATCCAGTGTGAAAGGGATAAAAATGTTCCTGACAATTGGCCTCAGAAAAGCCACCCTCATGAACCACTCCCCTAAACTCCTGGAATATGTGCTCCCTGATGAGAGAGAATCTAGAAGGGAGCTTTGGGATTGGGGAAGCAGAAGATGCCACTGAGGTGGGAGAGCAGGACCTTTGCATGGTCTGAGCAGCAGTCCCAGGAGAAGGCAAGACAGAAGACTCAGAAGGGAGACCTCCAGGAAATCTGCAGACTATCTGATAAGTCTTCGAAATCTTACTAGAAAAAGGAAAGGCAAAGGTGAACAGAGAATACTGACACAAAGCTTATGCTGAATACCGGCTTGACCAAGTACTGGCTTGACTCAGTACTATGACCAAGCTGCCAGGCTGAGAGGATCCTAGGCAAAGCAAGAAAGGTTAAAAGTTCATTTATTGGGGATGGAGAGATGGCTCAGGGATTAAGAGCACTGGCTCTTCTCTCGCAGAGGACCCGGGTTCAATTCCCAGCACCCACATGGCAGCTAAAAACTGTCCCTAACTCCAGTTCCAGAGGAATTGAACTCCCGCCTCTGACCTCTGTGGGCATTACACAACACAGGTACACTTACATGCAGGCAATACACTCATACACATAAAATAAAAAAAAATAGTAATGTTTTTTTAAAAAGTTCATTTACGACAGGCGTGGTGGCGCACGCCTTTAATCCCAGCACTTGGGAGGCAGAGGCAGGTAAATCTTTGTGAGTTCAAGGCCAGCCTGGTCTACAGAGTGAATTCCAGGACAGCTGGTGCTACAGGGAGACCCCGTCTCAAAAAGAAAAAAAAAAAAAAAAAAAGTTCATTTACTAGCTGGGCTATGGTCAATCAGTAAAGAAACTGATTGAGTACCCACATGAAAAAAGCTGAGTGTAGCAAGCATGTGCCATTAAGTCCAGCACTGGGGAGGTAGGGGCAGGAGGAGCCCTGGGGCTTGCTGACCAGCCAGTCTATCTGAAATGATGGTGGTGCATGCCTTGAATCCCAGCACTCAGGAGGCAGAGGCAGGCGGATCTCAGTGAGTTCAAGGCCAGCCTGGTCTACACGGTGAGTTCCAGGCCAGCTGGGGCTACTGGAGACCCTGTCTCAAGAAGACAAAAAAAAAAAAGTTCATTTACTGAAATACTTCATTTGCTAGCTTAGCATGCTAGTAGGTAATTTTAAAAATTTAACTATATGTATATAAAACTCAGCCAGGTGTGGCGGCTCATGTCTGCAATTCCAGCACCTCTGGTGGGATGATTGCTGTGAGTTCTAGGGTAGCCTGGGCTACAAAGTAAATTCCAGGCCAGTCTATGCCACATAACAAAAAAAAAAAGAAAGAAAAAAAGCAAGCCAAGCATAGTGGTAGGCACCAGTAATCCTGGCACTTGGAAAGTGGAAACAGGAGGATCAAGAGTTCAAAGCCAGCCTGGGCTACGTGAGACTGTATCTCAAAACCAACAACAAAACCAAAACTACAAAACTGGACTTGTGGGATGGTTCAATCAGTAAAGAAACTCATTGAGTACCACGTAAAAAAAGCTTAAGTCCAGCACAGGGGAGGTGGGGACAGGAGGCTCCCTGAGGTTTTGCTGACCAGCCAGTCTAGCTGAAATGGTACACTCCAGCTCAGTGAGACAGTCAATCTAAAAATAGTAAAGAGATGGTTCAGTGGCTAAAGTGCTTGCTATCCAATCATGAGGACCTGAGTTCAAACCCCTAGCACCCACATGAAGGCCAGGCATGGCCACATAAAAGCCTGGCGTGATGGCACAAGCCTGTAACCACAGTACTAGGGTGAGCAGAGACAGGCACTGTCTAGCCAAGCTAATCACAATGGCAAGTTCTAGGTTCAGCTGACAGACCCTGTCTGAAAAAGCAATGTGAAGAGTGGTGAAGAAAAACAATTCTATATCAGCCTCTGGCCTCCACAGGAGCATAAACACTTGTATAAACATGTACACACAAAAAGTTTAAACAAAATCTTCCAACAATGACAACAACAAACATCTCTTCAAGTATGATGTACAGGCTGCAGAGCAGTTCATCAAATGCATGTTCTGGTACAGGTCAGCTCATCTCAACTGTCACACATGTTAATATTTCTCTGTTTTCTTTGTCTGATAGTCACTGTTTTAGGAATGCTGCAGTGAACATCCATGGGTGTGGCTTCATCCTGAGCAAGCACTTCCCTCTGGTCTCCTGAATGGGAGCCTCACACACCTAGGTTGCCCTACAAACATGTCAAAGCCTGTTAAGACCAGAATCTCCTTCCCAGCCTAGGAGGGCTAGCTGTGAAGGCAGGAACCTGCTCCTTCAACAGGAGATGGGTACTGGGGACCAGCTGCTCAAGGCACACCTTCTAGTGCCAGTGGTCCTCTCTGTGCTTCCCCAAAGCATTAATTCCCCATATTTCCAATGGGCAGACTTTGCTAGAAATCTTGTCTTTTTAAGAGGGGTACCTAGGGAGTACCCGCCCTCCCTATGCCCTTCTAGATCCCACCTACTCTGTCACCCCCTCCCAAGCCTGTTCTTGTAAAAGAGCTTGGTCAGGCGATGCATCTATTAACGTCCAATGCTGAGGTGGACTGGCTCTTGATCCTGCCAGCAACTCTTACCCTCATGGGGCCATAGACCTCGGAACGGTCAAACATGAGCTTGAAGTAGTTCAGACTGCTCAAGGCAGCCTCCCAGGGCATGTACTCTGTTTCTCCAGACAGGAAGAGGGTGTTGTTCAGCGCCAGGGTGACAGGAATCCTTTGGGCACTGGAGACAAACAGCAGGACCCAAGTAAGCACTGGCCCAGCCCAGCTGCATCCTGGAGACCTCAGTCCAGGCTCTCAGGATGCACTTAGTTCTGGTCCCTTGACCCCTCCATGTTTGCCATGGGGGAAGGAGTAACATGGGTGCTCTATGTGCCACTTGGGCCCTGCCTCACCCCAGTGCCAATCATGCCTTTTTGCTTATTATCCTCATTTTATTGTTTTATTTTCTATTATAATGATTTTGAATTTTTGAGATGGGGGTTTCATATTGTAGCCCAGGTTGGCCCAGAACTCACTATGTAGCTCAAACTCAAGGCAATCTTCTTGCCTAGCCCCCCAAACATTAGGATTACAGGTGTGCATCATCACATCTGGTTTATGACACTCATTTTATAGATGAAGTGATTGAGGCCCAGAGAAGTAAAATGACTTCCCAAGGCCACACAACTCAAAAGAGACAGAGTTCAGAGTTCCATACACTTATCTCTCTCAAGTTTTTGTTATTTATTTATTTATTTATTTATTTATATGTGTACATATGATGTGTGGATGTGTTCATGTGGATGTGTTTGTGTGTGCTTGCAGGTATGTGTTTGTGTGTGTGTGTGTGTGTGTGTGTGTGTGTGTGTGTGTGTGTAGGCCAGAGATCAATGTTGGGTCTTCCTCAATTGCTCTCTTTTTTTAAAAAAGGTTTAATTTTAGGCCTAAGAATGTTTTGCCTGAATGTATGAGTGCACATCATGCATGCATTGCCTGAGAAGGCCAGAAGAGGGTGTTGGATCCCTCAGAACTGGAGTTACAGATAGTCGGCAGCTGCCATGTGGGTGCTAGGAACTAAACTCAGGTCCTTTGCAAGAGCATCCAGCGCTCTTAATGGCTACTGGTCTCTCTACCTTCTCTACATTTTATTTTTTCAGACAAAGTCTCTCACTGTACCTGGAGCTCATTGATTCAACCAGGCTGGCTGACCAAGAGCTCCAGGGACCTGCCTGTGTCCCCCACCCCTACTGCTAAGGGGACAGCACACTGATGTGCCTGACTTTTATGCACTCAAAGGAGCTGTGTGGCAAGCACTTTACTGAGTCATCTCCTCAGATGCCTGTACTCAATTCTTCCAACCTCTGGCTCAGGTATTTGTGGGCTTTTGGTTCACAGATGTCTCTGGGGGAATGTCACTCTTATCAAAGGGTTCAACACCTCACCATGAATGCAGTAGTTCAGTCAGCATTAGTTTTTCTGTGTTCTGTCTCTCCTGTCCTTTCCATCCCAGATTTTTTAAACACCAAGCACAGAGCTGACATAAACTTATCCCTCAGGAAAAGCTGGGATGTGGATATGGAGTGAGCAGTAAAACAGGACAGGCCCATGAAACCTTGAGCAAGGTGCTCTAACACAGAGTCCTCATCTGTGACATGGGCATGTGGGGACCCAGGGAGGCTTCTCTAGGAGCCCCTGGCACAGAACCTGGTGGACATTGAAGATGGCAGTGGGAACATGGGTCATATCACCATCAGTCACAGGCTTCTGCCCTGAGCCAGGAGGGCACTCACCTGGCCAGATTGAAAGAGTCATAAATAATCTGTGCCCGGTTGATGACAGGGATGACCTAGAAGGGAAAACTGTGTGACTTTGTGCTGACAGTAGAGGCAGGCCTTGCAATCTGATGGCCCAACCTGGGGCAGGGGACAGGGTGGAAGAGGGTACCCACCGACCGGTTTGTCTGCAGCTGATTCTGAATCTTCTTCCAGTTTTCATTATCATAGTTCACCTGGTAGTAGCCGGTCACATTAATGTTCAGCAGGACCCACTCATTGGGAGAAGCTTTGAATAGGTCGCTCTGGCCTGTGGCACAGGTGGGGGGCAGAACTGGATTGGGTATGCTTAGAAGGCCATGAGGGACCCCTGAGCCTCTCATCTAGCCAATTTCCATTCACCCTATCTAGCCAATTTCCATTCATCCGCTATGAACAACTCGTGCTCCGGAGCCTCAGCACAGAACTAACTCCCTTGTTCCCCACTCACTACCCAGGCCACCCTAGTCCCTGCACTCAGAGCACTCCTGGGATGTTTCTAAACATTTATCTTCTTCCCCTTGCCTGTGAGTGACTGGTCTTCACCTTTGCTTCCTCAATACTAGCCATATAAGTCACTCATAGTATCTGCTAGACATTGTCCTAAGTATTTTATATGAGTTCCCTCATTTAATTTTCACACAGTTCCATGGAGTAGATAGAATCCTTAGTTTCATTTGACAGAGAAGAAAATGGGGACCAGAGATGGTGGTAACTTGTTCAAGGTCACACAGCTGAGCAGTCACAAAGTGAAAATTGGAAAGACATCAGCCCCATTTGTTGAATGAAATGAAGGGAACCCTCACTAAACCCACCCACAACCCCCAGAATGAGGATAGAATGGACTGGATTACTTTTCTGGGAGCCATTCAGCCAGTAGTTATCTTGTTGCTCTCCATTTTTGATAGACGAGATGGGCACGATCCAGAGGTAGCTTCAGAGGGAGACCCAATCAGTCAAGGATGGTGGGCAGGTCCTGGGCACAACCCTCCCAGGTTCTCAGTGATCACCCAACTCCAGTACCAAGCATCCCCCTACTTCTGGCCCCACACAACAGCCCTCCTTGTGGCCCACCCCATCCTTTCCTGTGACCCAATCCTTGGTGACCCCATTGCTCACTTAAACTCTGAGGGGCGGGTGACAATGGACTCCTTGTCGAGGAGGAAGTGCTCCTGGGAAATGTCTCCAGTGGCAGTATTCACGGTGATGACAGGAAAGCCCATCTGTAGGATCCAGCGGTCCATGATGGTGCGTACAGGGGCTGGGAGCTTGAAAGCATTGTTGTCCACAGCCTGTGGGCAAGGGACATAGTGTGGCCATCAGAAGACCACCACATAGGTGGCCCCTACAAATTCTAGCTGGGCCAGTTGTGTTGCCTATACAGTGCAGAGGGACAAGGACTGGGGACCCCATCTAGTCTTGCCTCTCTGTCCATCCAGCACCTGTCAAGTCAGAGAACCTTCCAGCCTCTGGCTCTTCCCACGTCTTTGTGTGCCCCCAAGGTATGACCCATGCCCAGGACCCCCATGATGCCTTCTGAGAAGAAACAGAAATGAGGCAAAGCACTACCCAATGTCACAGGCAGGAGCCAGGGTCAGGGCTGGGGGTGTGAAGGGCATGTACTCCAAAAGGAGGGATTGGGGTGTTGGGGCTCTTATTGTCTTTTTGGGTCTCTTTTCATCTTTTTCAATGCATGGGCATTGCTTTTGCAATCACAGCAAAAAGCCAACAACCTGCTTTAAAAAAAAAATCATAGAGCCTTTGAGAACTTGGGGGAAGAGAGAGTATCAGAGGGGGAAGTTGAGAGGGGAGAGAGCTGGGGCTGACATGGGAGGGGAGGAAGGGAGGGAGGGAGGCAGGTTTTTCTGGAGGGCAGGAAGGCAAGTGGTGGAAGGAGGAGCCCTCATTAAGCCATTTGGTCAGCTGGCAGAGACAGGTGGGGAGGTGGACCAGGCTGAGGTTGCAGACTGGTCAGGAGGGAACTGGAGCCTGCCTAGCTGTGGCTCTGTGATAAGACCTTGGGTATTTCTCCCCAGTGAGACAGGCCGTGGGTCCAGAAGAGCACAGCTGCAGTGGAGGAGTAGCTGGACTTGAAGACAGGGCCCCAGGGCTCTGGAGGAAATGCTAATAGGGGAAAGGTGGGTGGGGCCTGAGGAAAGTCTACAGAGGAAAGTGGGGTGCAGCCAGGAGGGAGACAAAACAATGGTTGCTCGTGGGGAGGTTAGACTCCAGTCCTAGGAGAAACAGGAAGGAGAGGGGCCTCTGGGCTTGGCAGCTGGGGGATGGAATGTGAGGCAGGGTGGGACAGAGGGTCAGAGTTTGCATCCAGGGTGCTGGTGTGTGCAAGGATGAGCCAGGCAGGATGGTCATGGGGCACAGGGCAGCTGGGAGTGCTGAGTCGGTTGAATAGCTGGTTCCAAAGTGCTGGCAGAAGAGGAAAAAGAGGAGGAGGGAAAGGAAGTGGGGAGAGAAGGAGGAGGGGGAAGAGGAGGAAGGTAGTAGTTTGGGCTTGTGAGCCTTGAGACCCATTTTCTCATCAAAAGATCCCACAGTGCCCACTGTGGTGCTTGCAAGTGAGAGCCTGAAGTGGGCTGTGAGCAAGAGTCTCACCCACCCACTTTAGGGAACTATCTTTACACCAATTTAACGGATGAGCCACCAGCTCCCAGCAGCCTGCCTGGGCTGGTGAATAGGGCAGCTAGACACATTCTCACATATGCTGTCCCTAGAGACTTCAGGCATGTCAGGACCTTAACGGAGAAGCCTTGTTACCCACCTTCTGCAGGTGCTCCCACAGGTCCAGGTAGATGGTGTTCGAGTATTCAAAAGCATGGAGATAAGACTGTGGGGAGACAGACTTTGGTGAGTGCCTGGTGGTACTCAGGGCTGTGGAAGGTGGGGCTGGGGTACGTCATCATGGAGAGGGATGCAGGGATGGGTTGTACTCACTGCAAGGCCCTGCTTGAACACGTCCTCTGTCAGGAAACTAGACAGCATCCTAATAACCGAGGCTCCCTAGGATGGGATGAGAGGGGTTCAGAAAGCAGAGTTGGCTACTAGGGACAGGTGCCCCCAGATCTGCAGCTGTGGTGAGCCTCCTTGCAGGACACATCCTTCTCTGCACCCCAAGGCTCTCTGGACCCCCGAAAAGCCAGGCAGTACCTTGCTGTAGGTGATGGTATCAAACAGCTCACTGATCTGGGCCGGCGTGTTGACCTCGTTGGCAGGGCTGGACAGAGGGTGAGAGGAGGCGAGCGCATCCACGGCCATCACACGATACACATCATTCAGCACTATGAGGTCTTTCTGCAGAACCCCAAGTGCTGTCAGGAGCCTAGCCTGGGAGTGGGTGCCACAGGCACTCCACCCTGCCCCTCCCACGACCCAGGACTACAGCTCACCAGATTCCAGTTGGGCTCCGCATGGTCGGCACCCAGGTATTCCACATAGGAAGCAAAGCCTTCGTTCAGCCACAGGTCATTCCACCACTCCAATGTCACCAGGTTACCAAACCACTATAGAGGAAGCAGATCAACCCAGTGAACTTTACTGGCCCTCCATCACTCGTGGCACCTCATCATGTCATGGTCACCTGCCAGGCAGAGGCCAGGTAGAGACTCGACACTCCAAGGCCTCCATTCCTTCTCAGTACTCCCACAGCTACCTACCTGGTGGGCCAGCTCATGAGCAACCACAGTGACCACTCGCTCCTTGTTGCCAATGGAGGAGGAGACAGGGTCAAAGAGCAGGGCATTCTCACGATAGGTCACCAACCCCCAGTTCTCCATGGCACCAGCATTGAAATCAGGCAGGGCAATCTGGTCTGTGGAGGGGAACTGGGTGTCAGTGAGAGGGTTGAGGTGGGGACCCTATCAACATCTCCCAGTCAAGGCCACTCACTCACTCACTCACCAGACTTTTCCAGAGGGTAGGGTGTAGCATAATGATCGGCAAAGAAGCTTAGGATGGGGCCTGTCACATTCAGGGCATAAAGACCATGGCCTTTGTCAATGGCACTGGGCCGAGCCCAAATCCGGATCTGCAGATTGGACAGAAGGGGTCAGCTCAGGGTCCTCTGGGTTCCTGAAGAGAGTGGATAGAGTCCCAGGATCCAATGAGCTGGGGGGGGGGGGGGGCCCCC